TGGAACCAAGAAATGTCAAGGAAGCCTTAACTGATGAATATTGGATTGGTGCAATGCAAGATGAACTGAACCAATTCAAGCAACATGAAGTTTGGGAGCTGGTTCCTAGACCTGAAGGAACTAACATCATTGGGACAAAATGGATATTCAAGAACAAATCAGATGCTGAAGGAGTTGTCACCAGAAATAAGGCAAGACTTGTTGCTCAAGGATACACCCAGGTTGAAGGGGTTGATTTTGATGAAACTTTTGCACCTGTAGCCAGGTTGGAATCAATCAGACTCTTGTTGTCAATTGCTTGTCTTCTGAAGTTCAAGTTGTTTCAGATGGATGTGAAAAGTGCCTTTCTAAATGGATACTTAAATGAGGAAGCTTATGTGGAACAACCTAAAGGTTTTGTGGATCCAACCCATCCTGATCATGTCTACAAACTGAGAAAAGCTCTATATGGCCTGAAACAAGCTCCTAGAGCATGGTATGACAGGTTAACAAAGTTTCTCTCAGACAAAGGCTACAGGAAAGGAGGCTTGGACAAGACTCTCTTTGTCAAAACTGAAGGAGGGAAGTTGATGGTTGCCCAAATATATGTTGATGACATAGTGTTTGGAGGAATGTCAGAACATATGGTTAAACACTTTGCTGACCAGATGCAGGCTGAATTTGAAATGAGTCTCATGGGAGAACTAACTTATTTTCTTGGACTACAAGTCTCACAGATGGAGGACTCAATCTTCTTATCTCAAAGCAAGTATGCTAAGAATATTGTAAATAAGTTTGGTATGGAGAATGCAAGTCACAAAAGGACTCCTGCTCCTACTCATCTAAAGCTTTCCAAAGACTCAAGTGGGGTTAAGGTGGATCAAAGTCTATACAGAAGCATGATAGGAAGCTTGTTGTACTTAACTGCCAGCAGACCTGATATTGCCTTTGCAGTTGGAGTTTGTGCTAGATACCAAGCTGATCCCAAAGTCAGTCATATCAATCAAGTGAAGAGAATTTTGAAGTATGTAAGTGGTACTTACAACTATGGATTGATGTATACTCATGGCTGTGAACCAGCTCTGACTGGATACTGTGATGCTGATTGGGCTGGTAGTGCTGATGATAGAAAAAGCACCTCTGGAGGATGTTTCTTTTTGGGAAGTAATCTGGTTTCCTGGTTCAGCAAGAAACAGAATTGTGTGTCTCCTTCAACTGCTGAAGCTGAATACATTGCAGCTGGTAGTAGCTGCTCTCAAATGATATGGATGAAACAGATGCTCACTGAGTATAATGTCACACAAGATGTTATGACATTGTACTGTGACAATCTGAGTACAATCAACATATCCAAGAATCCCATTCAGCATAGCAGGACCAAACATATTGACATACGACATCACTTTATCAGAGACCTTGTAGAAGAGAAGACAATCAAATTGGAACATGTTGCCACTGAGCTACAGCTGGCTGACATTTTTACCAAGGCTTTGGATGCAAACCAATTTGAAAACTTAAGGGGTAAGCTGGGTATTTGCCAACATGAGGAATTGTAGCAATTAATTTTGCTTAAAACAAGGATCAAAGGACTTATGCCTGTTCTGATTGGTTTAAAATTGTATTTTCTCATTTCCTACAACTCTTTTAAGAAGTTGAATAGACACTCCCTTGCTTCCTTCCTCTCTCGTCTCCTCATCAAAACCCAGTCTTTCAATCAGAAATTTCTCCTCAGTTGTTGTTGGTCCTCTACAACTGTCAACATGTCTCAAACACCATCATCATCCAATACGACCATTTCAACCTCTTCCTCTGATCAAGATTCTGGGACAATCTCTTCTTGTCTGGACTCTGACGTTCTGGAGATCTCCTCTCATAGAAAAGTGGGAACTAACCTCACCAAGATCAAAGAGTTGAGAACAAGACATGCAGGAAAATCCCAAGCTTCTCATCCTTCTTCTTCAGTTCCCCCTGAAATTGCGAATAAGGAAGGGACAGCCTATGTTAATCAAGCAATAGCAAAAAATGTTTCAAGAATTCTGAACGAGAACCACTCAGTTCCTGGCATTTCTGTTCCTCTGAACCAAGAAAGCTCAAATGCTGAAACAAATCCAGATGTCTCTAAGAATGTTGAGACATCAAACAAAGAGAAGAATGCTGACATTGCTCACAAGAAAAGAAAGAAGCCTGAATACTCTGGATCTAATGACAGTGCTTGAAGGTTGATTGTTGTTTGGTGGTGTTGCTGGTTGGTTGGTTGATTGTTGTTTTCTGCTGATGCTCTTATTTTTGGATAACTGTTTAATTTTCTGAACATGTATCTTTGGCCCATTTATGGCTAAAGAGGGGGAGAACATTTTGGTACTTACTTAATTAGTACTTGACATTCTATTTTTCTGCTGTCACTTATTTCTGCTGCTATCTATCTCTGATTGTTTAGGGTCTTTAGCCAAAAATCTGCCAAAGGGGGAGTTTGTAGGTGTTTAGGTATTGGCTTGCATTTTTGGTAAAACCCAAGTGTTGTGTGAATGTCATGACTGATGTCATAACATTCTAGTTCAGTTTGTACTGGTTCATTAGGTACATTGCAGAAAAATATTGTAATTCAAATACTGATGTTTATAAGTGTGTATCTGAGCATTTTGCAAAATGATCACATTTTGCTAAGTCAGCAGACAGGTTTTCTCAGATGTCATAACAGATGTTATGACATCCTGTACTGAACTAACAGGATTGCAGGACTGGATAAGTCTGAGTTTTTTCAGGAAATAACTCACTCCTTCCTGAACAGATTCCTGCGTTTTCTGAGGGGCAACCTAGCTCAACCCTAACCTGGTTAATAAAGTCCTGTGACCTGGTCTTTAGGTCAAACGGAATTAACCCTAGGTTTTTGGAAACCCTAACTGATGTTGCAGCTGCTATATATTCAACAGAGCTGCTGTTTTTCAAGGACGACTTTTATTGATTTGAAGATCATTTGTAATCTGTATAGATTTGTTAATTGTACTCCAAGCAATTATCATTGTGATAAGTGCCTTGGAATAGGTTTCAATTGTAAGGGTTGTGTTGCACTCAAAGCTTTGAAGCAAGAGTGTTTGAATGTCCCTTGACTAAAGCTGTGAAGCAGAGTCAAGTTAGTTGTGTACATCACTCAAAGCTGTGAAGCACGAGTGATTGTGTTGCTTGATTAAAAAGCTGTGAAGCTTAATCAAGTGTGTGTTTTTGAAGAGTGTCTTCATCAATTCTTAAGTCAAATTGGTTTATGTATCACTGCTGTGATTGAGGGGGAGTGAGTAGGAACTCAGGTTTAAGTTGTACTTAGATTAGAATTGCATTGGGTAGGTCTTAAGTGAAGGAGATAAATTGGTTGGTTTATTCCTGAATTAACATCTCTTATAGTGGATTCTCTCCCTGGCTTGGTAGCCCCCAGAGTAGGTGTTGTTGCACACTGAACTGGGTAAACAATTGACTGTGTTATTTACTGCTTTTGTATTTACTGTCATATAGTAAGTCAGATACGGTGTCATAACAGTGGACGTGACATTGAGTATCTGCAGCCAGAATTTCAAAGAAGAAACTTGAAATGTGAGGAGATGAAATTCTTGACCTAATGCACTGAGCTTTGAGCTATCTTCGAGGCAGGCGAAAGAAACATCTTCACAAAAAACCAAGGACCCGAAACCCTAGCATCTTGACCAGCACACATAGGGAAATAAACTCTAATCCAGGCTCTGATAAATTTGAGCGAGAACCAACCTTGTAACGTGATGACAAAATTCGTTCCACGATCCACTAATCGAGAACCAGCTGCGTTTCCCTTTTACCTAATAAGAAAATCTCAAAACAAGATTAGACATAAAGAGGGTGCAACCCTAATACCTCAAACCAAAGCGCCTGATTCCATGAGATGTGGGATATGCAAATGATTGAGTAATAAAATGATGCAAATGAAATGCAAAGTCCAAAGCCAGACAAAAATAAAAGAGATAAGGGAAATTTGGGGTACGACAGAATGGTTGTGGCACGGTGGTGAAAAAAAGGATGCATGGTGGATCCAGTGAGTTCTGTGAGATCTGAATTGAAGCTCACATAAGGATCATAGGTAATTTATGGTTTGAAGGTGGTTAAGGTTTAACGATTTTGTTGTTACGTGCTCACGATGGAGATCGGATAAAGGGTGGCTGCATGTTGGGGTTTATTGAATCCGTGGGTTTGAAGGTGATGTAACGGAGGTCCGATGGGTTGTTGTGGAGGAATGACATTGAAGTTGTTTTTGAAGTGTGTGGTGAAGGAGTTGATGATGTATGTTGTTCACAGTGGTGCGATAAAGTTTTAGAATGAGTTTTCTAGAATGTTTCTGACGAGAATCCAAGGTGTTATGTGGTTGTTATGGTGGTGTAGTGAAGGTGATGAAGAAGTAGGAAATATGAAGTTGTAAAATTATAACCAGATATAATTGTCATTTTCATGAGTCACTTATACATATGAAATATAAATCAAATGGAAAAATAAAAAAATTCAATATCCTATAAACATTTTGGATGAATTGACTTAATTAAAAGAAAATTGAAGAAATCTTTAAAAAGTACGAGAGAAATCCAAAAAAAAAATTTACAGAAAAATTCTTCAAATATCGCTCAAATGACGGTGGACAAATTAACTATTAACACTTAAATTTAAAATATTAAAACAATTTTATCTATTTTAAATTTATTATAAAAAAAAGTTTGACTATAGTACTTTATATTATTATTAGAAAAATACCAATAAAGTAATTCTTATACTAAAAATAGATAGACATTTTATAAAAAAATATAACTTTTTTGAGAAAAGTTAAATAGAAATAAAATTAGTCAAACATAATATACCTAAAGTACTAAAGAGACAAAAGTAAAATAGGGTTAAAAAGGAGGAGGTTTTCCTTGGGGTAAGCAAAACAACAGCCGCAAAGTACAAACAGCCGAGGAATTAGTAGTAGCACTAGCATTAGTATTGGCACTAGTGTTCAGTTTCATCATTCAATCATGGTTATCTTCATTTGTAACCCCATTTTCTTCACTATCGCAATTTTCATGTTCTCAATTTGGGCTATACACAAGTTATTCTCAATCGAAACAGTGAAGAGAAAATGGAGAAACATAGAAGATTGGTTCCACGTGTATCATGTGTTCAATGTTCCAGAACTAAGCGACAACATGCAGTACAACACTTTTTACAGAAAACTCTCTATATACTTTCATTCTCTTCCTTCTCTCCAAGACTCACACTTGAATAACCTAATCACTTCCGATTATAACCAAAACGACGTCGTTCAATCCCTCGCCCCTAACCTAACCGTTCAAGATCATTTTCTCGGAGCCACTCTCTACTGGTTCAACCAAACCGAACCGAACCGGATCTTCATTCTCAAGATCAGAAAAATCGATAAACGAAGAATCATTCGTCTTTATCTTCAACATATTCACGCCGTCGTTGACGAAATCGAGAAACAAGGAAAACGTGATTTACGGCTTTACATGAACGTTAACGCCGGTGGCGGTGTACGATGGAGATTCGTTCCGTTCAATCATCCTTCTACATTTGAAACAATCACAATGGAACTAGATCTCAAAAACAAACTCAAATCCGATCTAGAATCGTTCCTCAAAGGTAAACAATACTATCATCGGAATGGCCGTATCTGGAAACGAAGCTTCCTGTTATACGGTCCTTCCGGCACCGGAAAATCAACCTTCGTTGCCGCCATGGCCAATTTCCTCTCCTACGATATCTACGACATAGACCTATCAAAACTTCACGGCGATACGGATCTGAAATCTCTCTTCCTCCAAACAACGTCGAAATCGATCGTTCTAGTTGAGGATCTAGATCGGTATCTTGATCAGAAATCATCTACGAGAATGAGTTCATCGGCGATGTTGAATTTCATGGACGGAATATGGAGCGGCGAAGAGAGAGTGATGGTTTTCACGATGAACAGCAAAGAGAATGTGGATCCGGATCTACTTCGTCCGGGTCGGGTCGACGTACATATCCATTTTCCTCTTTGTGATTTCTCATCCTTCAAAACGCTTGCTAGTAACTACCTTGGTGTGAAGGATCACAAGCTTTTCCCTCAGGTGGAAGAAATTTTCCAAAACGGAGCGAGTTTGAGTCCAGCAGAAATCGGTGAGTTGATGATCACGAACCGGAACTCGCCGAGTCGTGCGATTAAATCAGTCATCACAGCATTGAAAACAGACGGTGATGGAAGAGGGTGTAAATCGATCGAACGGCGCACAGGGAATGACGGTGATGACGTGGATGAGGGTGTAGGTGATCCTTCGTTTAAAGAGAGAAAGAAACTTTATGGGTTTTTAAAATTGAGGGCTTCTAGAAGAAAATCTTGTTCGTCGTCGCCTAACAACAGTGCATTTGGAAGTCCGTTACGAATTTCTGAGTCATGACTGTGTTGGATGACACGTGGCAACTATTTGTTGGTCACGAGAACAATGTGCAGCTTGGGATTCGTACATCATTTTTTATTTTTTATTATTCTGATTGATAATATTAGATGCAATGCACACACTTAAAAAAGTGTTGATACTTGCCTTTTGATTGTTTGTTTGCGTGTGGAATATAGATCGGTGGAAAATTGGAAAGTGATATTGGAAAGTAGTTTACATGAGTAATTTGCATAGGACAAAAAATATATCTTGTAGATGTGTTTTCCAATCGGATAATCAAGTTTTTTTTTTGGGTACATCTCCCTCTCTTAATTTTAAGTGTTTTATTTGTTAAGTAATATTTTATTTTTATTTTTTTCTATATAGCCGAACTTTGCACATACAACTCTCATGCCAGATGTTCAAATTTAAATTAGGTTTAATAATATTTTTTTTGTCATAGAAATGATTTATGTTTTACTCCTATAAAAAAGTTGAGATTTTAATTTTGAATTTTAAAAATTTTGGGAAAAGTTTTTCAAAATAAGAATTAGGTTGTAAACGTTTTTAAGATGCTTAAAACATTATTGATAACTTAAATTTATTACAATTTATGAATATATAAACTTATTTTTCATGAATATGACTACTTTATTTGATAGATGGTAGAAAAAAAGATGGAGTTAAAAATGCTAGCGGATGATGAAGAAGGTGATCAAAAAAAGAAGTAAAATCTTATTTTAAAAATCAAAGACATGAAGTTAGAAGGTAAAGAATGCTAAAGTAAAAGTGATGAAGATTTGAATCTCATGATTCAAATATATATGGAATTTCTGAGATTAAAAAAACAAACTTTAAAATTTTAAGATGATCAACACAAGAATGAAGGAAGACTCTCATTCGTTATTATATGCTATAAATGCAGGAAAAATGATACTTAAAAGCAAATTGTCCTCAGAATGGAATCAGAGAAGAAATCAAAATCAGAATCAAAGAAAGATTAAGAAATAACAAAGAAGCTAAGAAAACCTACATTGTCTAGAATAACAATGACATGAAATACTCATATGAGGAAGAAGCAAACATTTATCTCATGGAAAATCATGAAGACTATGTGGTAACATTTTTCTTATAATGATTTATTTTGCATAAGTAAGAAATTAAACAAAGAATCACATAAATTGAAATGCCCTGTCTCCATCTTTGAAATGACTATCTCCTCCCTTAAAATAGAAAATAAAAACTCATTGAAAGAAATAGAAAATGTCAAAGAAAACAAAACATTTTAATTTTAAGTAATTCATTTTCCAATAAAGTTTTAGTGGAACCTATTATAGTGGTAGAAATGTTGAGACTAAGTGTTGGTTGGGATTTTCGTAAAGAGAGAAATCCAAACCAAAAGTAAAAAAGGATCTTTTAAGAGCATTAAATTATGAGGAGTCGACTACCAAAACATGTCGACCATGGTTGATTTCACAGACAGGCGACCAAGATTTTGTAAGCGCAGTCGACTAGAGAAAAGTTCATGGTGAATGGATTGGGCCAAGGGGGTGAGAAGCCCAAAAGAGTTAAAAGGCCCATAAGCACCTAAACTGTAAAGGCGAAATGTTATGGAGGGGGAACGTGAGCTCGACCACAATGGAGAACATGGGTTCACAAAGAGAAGTTATAATAGAGAACATGTGTTCGTGGGGGGAAGTTACGAAGAACACATGGCATGCAAGGAAACGAAGCCCACTTAGAAAGTAGTTATTTCTGTGTATTATAAATAAAGCACTTAGTTCACTTTTGTAAAAGGTCAAACTTTTCACATTCCTACACGCTAGTCACTTAAAGTAACCAAGCGAACGAGCCAAATGAGTCATACAAAGGCAATGTATGTTTGAACCAACCTATTTTATAACTTTCTTTAATGTTATGTAATTATCTTTTACAACTTAAAACGATTTTTCGTTTCCTTTACTTTGTCTTTTTGTCCTTATCTTTTGCAATTTAAATATGCTTGGCTCCCATTCGAACGCATCCTTTTTTAAAACACTTTGACTATGCACACAAACTGAAGCACGACTCCGAGATTCTCTGGTCGATCTCACACGTAAACTTGTTTTCAAGAGACCAACGTTGTTTACCAAATCCACAGGCAAACAAATTGGCACACCCGGTGGGACCGTGCTAATATTTTTGCGTGTAGTTTCACAAAGTTCTTATAGTTAGTGTGTGTATGAATTTAAGGAGTGGTAAACTTTTGTCTAAGTTTAGAATGCCACGCTATGACACAAACACTGCACACACGCAAATTTCTATACAAAATGTGGATGTTATACCAGTAACTACCACAACTCAAAGAGCGATAGTTTTATCTCCCATAAGATCGACCGCAGTTTTTAGTTCAGTGACGAAAGACACAAGGACAAAACCTAGGCATGGGGTACCACCATTTGACCCAAATCAACCACTTTTTCTAGGGGTTCTAGGGTCATCATTTATCCCTCACCAATATGGTATGCCTTATTCCATGATGTTGGGTTACAGTCGAATCCTGTCACATATACAAAAAACATAGTTGCCACTGAAACCAAGGCAATTATGCCCTAAGTGGTCGACTAGGTGGTGTTAGTTATGTCCTGCAGTCGATGCCATCTTTGAATACTACATCTGTTATGGATTTAAGGCAACAGGTAGATTAAAGTAATTTAAAGTTAGTAAACGTCTTAACCCAACAAATGGGAGTCGCCCTAAATCCTGTGGTTGATCAAATATTAACTCATTAAGGGTCCAACCAACCCAAACTCAGACGCGTCACAGGCTGTTGGGGTTTTTTTTGAAGAACTAGAGGAGGCAACAATGAGCATCCTTTTAAGCCTCGAAGAGTGGAAACACCCACTTATGATGAGGAAGAATTTATTCAACGATATGAATCTAGGCCAGTCGTAGTTAGGAGAAACCAAGATGCTGATCGAGTGTTAAGAAATGCCACTATTAGACGTAACAACATAGTGAATATGGTAGAAGAAGTATTAACACGATCTAGAGTAAATTTTGGCCTCCGGAGGCCCAATTACTCTTCACCCTTGCCTAATTACATTCGACAGGCAGAATTACCTAGAGGATATAAGGTGCCTAAGTTTACCAAGTTTGCTGGTGAGGCTAATGAGTCAACCATTAAACACGTTGCTAGGTACAAAACAGAAGTTGGCGATATCGCCAATGACGAGGGCTTAAAGTTAAGATATTTTCCTAATTATTTGACAAAGAATGCTTTTACTTGGTTTACAACGTTAACTTCAAACTCCATACATACTTGGGAACAACTTGAAGGGATATTTCACGAACAGTTTTATGCTGGTCAACCTAAGATAAGTTTGAAAGAATTATCCTCCATCAAGAGAAGGTCCTTTGATTCAATGGAAGAGTATTTGAATAGGTTTAGGGTCCTAATGTCTAAATGTTTTACTAGGGTTCCTGAACATGAGCTTGTCGAAATAGCGGCTGGGGAGTTAGATTATTCTATTAGGAAAAAGTTTGATCCTGAAACTATTACAGATATGTCTCAACTAGATGATAAGGTTCGATATGTCGAACGTTTGAAAACAGAGAAAGATAGAGTGTCAAAGGACCATAGAAAAGGAAAATTTGGCTATGTAGACACAAAAAATTATTCCATAGAGTCCGAGGACGAATACATGGAAGAAGGAGAGGTTAATGTGGCCGAATTGAAAGATGGGCCTCCATATGCTTGTAAACCTATAAGATCTCTATTGTACCCAAAAATATGCCCTCCCATTTTCACTCAATATGTTATCCCAGGGTTTCTCAAACACTCAATTTGGCACAAGATTTGATCAAACAGATTCTCTTCCTAGGCATTGAGTCAGCAATTAGGGTTTTACATTTTCCAAAGAAAATTGAGCCTTCAAGGTTTCAAATGATTTTCATAGGTCTTCCTGTCTCCTCAAAGTTGTTTAAACCAGTTTTCAAACCTCGCATTACAAGTTTGCTCAATCAATGGTTCAAATGACTGAAAATGACTACAGCAACCCCAAAATCAACCCTTTTGGAGAGAACAAATTCAAACGATCGTAAATTCTTCATTATTCAATGTCTTTGAGTGGTTTTCCTTGCGTATGATTATCCTTGATGACACCTCAAATTTCTCTTCACAAATCAAGAGCTGATTACGCGTAGAAGATCACCAAAATTCGAATGCGTTAGAAGTCACATCTTGAATTTTGACCTAATTTCAAATAACGGTCGTCTGATTGTTATTTCTTCAAATTAAAAGACCTTGAGACGATTATTTTTGCACATTTACCTAAGTGATGTCATCAACAAGTTCTCTTCAAGAATCAAAGGAAAATTGAGCTTAGAAGACCCTGGGAGTTATCAAATTGTCATAGATCATTTCCTTGATTAGAATGTTTTTAACTTCTAATTTCAACATCTGCCATATTTATTTTCTCAAGGATATTGATTCTTCTGTTGAGATCGAGGATTCCTTGTTTGTTTTTCGCTGACTTCAAGTCATTGGTGTTGAAGCATTGGTGTTTATTAGGTTACAATGGATTTTTGATCGAGTTTTCTTAAGACACTATTTGTTCACTCGAGTATCATTGACTTGTATTGCGAGTTACTATCAATTGAAGATGTGACTTAGAGTTTTAGTGAAAGATATTTGAGGATACATTTAAATGATGTCGTTGATTTCAATTCAGCTCAAGCATACAAGGCATAATTCATTTATTTTGAATTTGTCTTTAATTCAAGATTCGAAATGGAAGAAACTTTTTAAGTTTAGAAAGAAAACTACAAGGGCATTATTTTGTTTCATCCAAATGCTTACCAAGACTTTTTCAAAGATCAAATTCAAGTTACAATTGTAAATTGCAAATTTCAAGTTATGATTCCAAGATTATTTTCAAATTACAAGTGTTAAAGGGACTTTACATCCAAAGCCTAATCCTTGTTAGAACAAGATTAGTTCTGATCTATCTCAAAGTTTTGATGATAACAATAAATTATAT